CTTGTGATTCACATGTGAATCACTTGTGATTCACATGTGAATTACATGTGATTTACATGTGAATCACATGTAATTCATATTTGATTCACTTATGATTTACATGTGAATCACATGTGATCCATATGTGAATTTCATTTGATTTTTTCTATATCGATATGAGATTTGCTGAATTCCAAAACACAAATTAAAAAATAAAATACTAAAGAAGCAGATGGTTATTATTAGTGCACTATATAATTAGTTTATATCCAAAAAATAATATAAATATTAGAATGTTTGTAAAGATTCTGCATTTTTTTAAATAAAAATATTATAATAATAATATTTATGTACCTTGGTTATTGTGCTCCTATTTGCATTATCATTTATTAAACTCATCATCTACTTTAGGGTTTAATTGCAACAATCAATTATACAAGTTCTGTATAATCATTTGCATTATCATTTTCAGGTGAATCGGTTATTAAGTTATCACTTGAGGTCTTTTCAAGTTCTGTATGATCACTTGAATCAATTACAGGGCGCACTGGACTTGAGATGGTCATTGAATCAACACCAAAATTGTTTGATGGTGTTTTACCAGTGATGGATACTGTTATTTCTGAAGTAGCATCATGTAAGAATTAGATGACATCAGGATCACATACTAAGAGAACAGATAAATGATGTACAAAAAGTAACATTTTTCTTACTTTTGGGAGATTAGATTTTGATGACTTCTTCCTAAAAAACACAGTCTTGATCCACTTTCCAGGAGACTTCCCCATTCTTGAATAATAGAAATGTTATAGCTCTAAATTCTCTGCATCATCCCAAAAACAAACTCTTAATGAAGCTACAGGAAATGAAACATAAAACACAACCAAAACTGTGAAAAGAACTATACTAAATTCAAACAACTAGAATGAGATCAAGATCAATATGTACAAAAGGAGATTACCACTCCATCATACTCAATAGGGTGTCCAAACCAGCTACTCTGTATAATATGTTCGAGAAAACAAACTTTTTTTTTGCCACTAAGTAATACAAAATTTAATTTCAAATTGCAGTTACTTGAGGAGGATACAAAATCATGAATGTGGCTAGAATCGTTAAGAGCATAGCAATTGGTTGCAGGTAAAACCACAGAACCAACGATGCATGTTTGATAGAGGAAAGTTGGAAATGAAACAAGAAAACGAAGTTTTCATTCAAAAAAAGAACAAAACTGATATACATTAAACAATTTGCTTCTTGATTCTTACAGAGATGAGTAAATAACTAAAAATTCATCAATTACCTGTAAAAATGGCTGGGAAAAAACTGATCATTAACAACATTAAAGCATATGTTAGGCCTTGGGTACCAAGAAAATACAAGCATACCAGATGCTCAAAAAGGCTGTTGTAATCCATTTAAATTGTATTATGAAAATTTATTTGTAGAAGACGACTAGTTTCTGATATTATATTGTATGCTCAAAAGGCTGGAGTCTTCCACAAATAAAAATATCTCTTACATTTCTCAAAATATAACAAAAAAATTCTTCAGAATACTAAATTGGAATTGGTTCATCATTCATGAAGTCAAAGTGAAGTTAACATGTGATATTTCTCATTGAGGCGTTTCATCAAACATGTTGAGTGCAAATGAATATCTATATTTTTCAGTAACACAAGTGACTATTTTTATACCTACAATCAACACAAGTATTTAACTCTTCTTAAAAACATATTGACTAAACAAGTTCAACTTAATGATTATGCGAAAACAATTCATAAAGGTCAAACAAAGGTCAGGAGTCAACTATAGAAACAGATGATACCTAAATTTTGTTCGACAAGGGATCATCTTCTTCGTTCAGGTCTTCAATCCATAGTGGAGGCCGAGATGAAGTCGGCGATTACGGTGTACTCCGGGGAACGAACTGATGGAGGATAAACGATTCAAAATAAAAGCATCTTCAGTGGACTTTTTTCTATGAAGAACGTGAGATCAAGGAGTTCAACAACTATGAAACTTCGATCGTTGGGGGATTTCAGATTCGTGTGAGTAGAAACAATTTCAGAATCGAAAGCATGGAATTGGAAGAAGGATTAGAGACAATTCGACGGGGTGAGTTGTCGGAGGATGGATCGTAGCTTTGAGCGAGAAAGGAAAACGGGGAGGGGAGGGGAAAGAGAGAGAGAGAGAGAGAGAGAGAGAGAGAGATGAAAATGCATTTTATCAGATATTAGATTTAAGAAATCATTTAATTATATTTATATTCCTATAATACCCCTGATTGAATTAATTAGATATACCCCCTTCTTTTTTTGTCTACTTATTTACAAAAACGCAACCTTGCATTTCGATCATTTTTTCTTTTATATATATATATATATATATATATATATATATATATATATATATATATATATATATATATATATATATATATATATATACACTAGCAGTGTACCCGCGCAAAGCGGCGGGACGTGTAAATTCTTTTGGTGATATGTTTCCTCTACAAAAATGTTATGTTACAAAAGAAAGTACATGTCGAAGACAAAATAATCAAACTATGGTGTTATTTGGGAGATGAGGTAATTTTTTGTTCCTGGACGGTGGGCTTTATAGCAGAGGAGGGAACAAAGAGGTATATGCGATTGGAGTGATATTTGAATCAATATGCTAAATTTAAGGATATCTAAAAGGGTTCAAAATTTGAATGAATCCGGGATTTGAGGAAACCTTATCAAATTGATGAGAAATATAAGGAGATTTGATGATAAAGTTTTTGAATTCAAAATGTGGTTAAAATTTAATATTATTTTATTAATGGTTATTTGTACTATTAGTTTCATCATTTGGACGTCTTAAAAAAATATTATTATTATAATCAATCTATTTTTAGAAATAGTTAGATTTCTTTTATAAGATAGTATATATATATATATATATATATATATATATATATATATATATATATATATATATATATATTACACGCATAATTAATATTATTGAAAAGATAAGATATATAACAAACACATAAGATGATAACAAACACAGGATTTTGTAATTTTGTTACTAACTTATATTTACATAATTTAGCGACAAACGGTTTACTTAATTATATTTTATTTCCTATCAAAGTTGTTTTTAGTTCATTTTAACACATCTTTTATTATATATTTATTTTCTAATAATTTAGAAATAACATTAAAGGAATATTTCTACTTAATAAATAATTTGAATTTTATATTTATTATTTGACTCATTCTAAAGGTTCTATAAAGGAATATTTCTACTTAATAAATAAGAATAAATTTATCTACGATAAATGGATAATTTTTTCCCTATAAATTAAAGAAGGTTAAAAGCGAAGCATTTTGAGTTTGTGGGCAAAACATTTGTTATCTCAAATTTGGTGTAAGTTGGACCATTCATTACACTACTTTTGTGTAAACCTTTTAAGGTGTTCCTTACAGAAGCATTTGTTATATGTTTACCCTATTTTAGTATTTTTAATACGTGCATTAGAGATGACTTGATAAAAATATCCAAGCAAAAGTCCAAAAAATTCTTACCAAAATCAGTGATTTTCTAAATACCAAACAATCAATATTAGTTTTAAGATAAAAAAAATCTTATAATAATCATTACTTGTATCAAAAACATTTTCAATAAAAGGTGTTTAAATAGATCAAAGATATAGAATTTGATCATTGTCGTTAAATATTATTAATCATTTAGATTTTATTGAATGGTAATTTAAGCTTTGGATTTTATATATTTGATTCTAATCCTGGCACGTTAGTTTATAAATTAATTTATTGTAATTTAGCATTTGCTAATTTTTTTTAACTACATTATATAAAAAACTAGCAAGTAGTTAGAAAAAAAAAATAATTACAAAAAATCATAGAATATTTTGTAAAATTATAAAAATAGTTTATTGTAGCTTATAAAGTAACTTAATGATAAACTAGCTTGATACAACTTATTGATAAATAACTTATAATTTAATAGCTAATTTGCAAACGGAATTTAATCTCCAATATTAAAAACTAAATTACGGTCATATAATACTTTTGTCACTTTTTATCTTTATAACTATGTATGCAATAATTTTATCTTTTATTTTCATACAATATATATATATATATATATATATATATATATATATATATATATATATATATATATATATATATATATATATATATATATATATGATACATGCTTAAAATTTAAAAACTAAATGAGGTTTTTATACAACATTTTTAAGAGATAAATTAGTTAAATTAAGAAAGTATGTTGAAAATGTAAATGATTATAAAAAGTGTATGATATTAGGTTTGCACTAATTAGAATTAGTGTAATATGACATGATGCATTATCATATCTCAATCTTTAAATCAATTACTAATCATTATAATTTTATAACTTTAGTGATTAATTATCATGATTTATGTCAGTAGCGGACGCAGAACGTTTTAGCACGGGTGACACTAAAAAAAAATCGAAAAAATCTACATTAGTCGTTGCACTCGTATTTTAAATCGGTGCACCTAATAGAAAAAACATAAAAAAAAAAATTATTACACTACGTGCCGGAATCGAAACAGTGACCCGGAACCCCCGGGACACCACTAAGGTCCGCCACTGATTTATGCATAGTAAGTTGATAACATACTTTTTTTTTTCTTTAGATTTAGTAATCCATTAGCTTGATGAGTTCATTGTAACTTGATACTTGTTCTTACATATATTATCATCGCTATCCCTTCTACACTTTATAATACAATTTGGAAAGTACTTTTTTTTTTTTAATTTTAAAATCATTGTAAGTAGAAAACTCGTGTTTAAAACGTTTCTTGTGAGGGTTACTTTTTGTTCATTTTAATATATATGTCGACATAAAATAAAACTCGTATTAGTTGTTGAAAAAATCAAATACCTATCATTACTAAAATATACAAGTCTAATAAAAAAGATTTATTAATTATGGATGTAGAATTAGAATGGAATTAAAAAAAGAAATTTGTTATTTGTACAAACTACAAACCCTCGTTGGATTTCCCTCCTTCCTCAATTTCCTCTTCAACGCCCCTCACCTCACACTCTCTCAACACCTCTTCTGATCAACACGTTACACAATCCACCATTAAAACTCTGCAATTTCACCCCCTTTCTTTTTTTCTTCTTTCCCCTAAAGAAACCCCATTCTAGAGAGAGTTAAAAGAGTGAAAGAATCTTTCTTTGATGATGCTCCATTTGTTTGTTTTCATCTACAAACCCTTAAGCTCCTCCATCCAAATTCAGATCTAACATGATTTGTTTTCATCTGGGTATCCTTTGAAATTTGCCTACTCTTGATGAATTTACTTGGGTATTCATGGTGAGGATGGGATCGAATGATAATTTGGAAAATGTCGTCGGGAGTACAAACCCACTTTCGGTTGTTTCGAGAGGTGGTGCGACCCGGTCATGGGGTACAACGGCGTCGGGACAATCTGTTTCGACTAGTGGCAGCGTTGGGTCGCCGTCGACCCGGAGTGAGGCTGCAATGGCGGCGACGCCTGCTAGTGATAACACGTTTATGAGGCTGAATCACCTTGATATTCACGCTGATGATGCTGGATCTCAAGGAGCTGCTGGGTGAGATCTTTTACTCGATTCTATTTCTATAATCCCTCAATTATCACACGTTGACTTCCAAATTGACATGAAATTCTCCACTTTGGAAGCAAATCAGTACCCACTTTATACCAACTACTACCAAATACACAAATTGGTATGAAATTTGCAGCAATACTCACATTTTATTCCGAAAATTGATGCTTTTGAAGTAGAATTTTGTTATATCGTTTTGTTCTTGAAGCTTTGGTTTCGATTTCTGGGATTTTGTTGGTTTTTATTTTGGTTACTTAAAGAATCCAAAAGAAGTAAACTTATCCAAATGGAGGAAAATTTCTGAAGTTTTGCTTGTAAATTGTAATGAGACATATACACATTTATATTTTCTTGATGAATGGAATAAATTTCTTGTATACGATGAACAGAAATAAGAAGAAAAAACGAGGTCAACGTGCAACTGGAGGTGATAAAGTAGGAAGAGGACTTCGACAATTTAGCATGAAAGGTTCCGATTTTGCCCTTCAGTTTACTAATTTTGAAATACTCAAAATTTCACACCCCACAATGCAAGTTTATACTCTTTAATTTTATTTTATCTTAGTATGCGAAAAAGTAGAAAGCAAAGGAAGAACCACTTATAATGAGGTCAGTCGATTCAGACATTCAGTTTAATCTTCTTATTCAGGATACTTTTATATAATTTCCACAAAAAAAAAAAAAAAGTAGAAAAAACTGAATAGAAAGTTTGATTTTTATAGGTTGCAGATGAACTTGTAGCTGAATTTGCAGATCCTAGAAATAGTGATCAACCTCCTGATCAGGTTTTTTATATCTCATTTCTTTCAAAATTGCAATGTTTGATTTATTTGTTTACAATAGAATCCTGCTTTTGTTTCTTTTATTGCAACATTATACTTTGAAGTATTTTCTTATTAAGGAATTGTACTTTAAAAAATCTACTCAATTAATTTTTTTTGGCATTATGGTTTTGTTTATTTAAATGGTGATTACATTCACAGCAACAATATGATGAGAAGAATATTCGTAGAAGGGTATATGATGCTCTTAATGTTCTCATGGCTATGGATATTATTTCTAAAGATAAAAAGGAAATACAATGGCGGGGCCTACCTCGAACTACTTTGAATGATATTGAAGAACTAAAGGTATTTATATAATTATATCCATAGATATATTTATAATTTATAATATATATAATGTATGGTTTATAATTGTTGTTTAAATGTGATAGAGTGAGCGTATTGCTATCAAGAACAGAATTGACAAGAAAGCGGCTTATTTGCGAGAACTAGAAGATCAAGTGAGAAATATTTTATATAATTTAATATTCGGAAATAATTTTTGATACATTTTTTTTTTCTTTTATAAAGCATATAGGTCTTCAAAACCTCATACAGAGGAATGAGCAGTTATATGGGTCTGGAAATGCACCAACTGGTGGGGTGGCTTTGCCTTTTATACTTGTCCAGGTACGATTTTTCCAAAAGGGTATTTTCGTCTTTTTAGCTAAATATTGAAAGATTTGCTCTTTGTTCCGTGAAATCGCATCATGGAGGTGTTTAACGGTTGGTTGAATCTCTAAAACGACCTAATTGTAAAATGTCTGAAATACCCTTCTCTCGTGTCTTGTAATATAGACTCGGCCTCATGCGACCGTGGAGGTGGAAATTTCAGAAGATATGCAGCTCGTTCATTTCGACTTTAACAGGTTATTATTATTATTATTATTATTATTATTATTATTATTATTATTATTATTATTATTTTTATTTCATTTTTCTTTTTTGGATTTAAAAATAAAATAAAACAATGTAATAAGTAATAACATCTATTTTTTGTTTCTGTTGGCGTATTTGTAGCACACCATTTGAGCTACATGATGACAATTATGTCCTCAAGGCCATGAAGTTTGGTGATGGAACAAACAATGTTTGTACAGAAGGAGGTGTGGGGTCCAGCATGTTTGAGGGTGGGGTTCCTATGCAGCCGAGGTCCAGCGTAACACACGGTAGACCTCCACCATCCCCTCCACTTCCGGGGATACTAAAGGGACGTGTTAAGCATGAGAATTAGTCGATACAACCTCTAAATTCTAATATCTCTTCTTTGTATATTGTGTAAGCATGTTGTGCTTGCTTTGCTAATTGCGGATTTGGGCTTTATTTGGTCATAATGTTTTTTTTTTTTTTTTTTGTATTTGATTTTATGGTAATATATTATAGATTCCTGAGTAAATTACATAAATTGCCCCCCTAATTTGGTCTCCAATTCGAAATTGGTCCCTTAAACTTAATTTTGTTGTGTATTTCGTCTCTAATCTTGACGGCGTGTGTATATTGTCGTTAAGTGCCCATAATTTGACCATTTTACCCTTGATATTACGTTTAGAGTCAACCACATTAATCGTCTTTGTGTATTTCTTACTTCGTCTTCTCTGACATGGGTACCATAAAGTTTGTCGGCTATCCTTGTTAAGTAGATGAACTATCTATGTACGTTTTATACCTTTTTCTTTATTACAACATATGCTAAAGCACAATTCAAATTGATATAGTCGTACATTTAGGGTTACAAACATATGGAACAAGTTCAAAAATTATCAAATTAGTTTCGAACTTTTTCTTTGTATTTGAAACTCTAGTTTCAAAGAATAACAAGTTTGGGAAGAAGTAAAATTGACCTATTTCCTTATTTTTTGACGAGTTTCGTCATAGAGTTGTGGAAATGTCTTATGTTGAAAGAGTTTGAAAATGAGTTTTAGGGAAAGTGTAGGAAATTATGATTTGAAGCCTTACCTATTGAGGACCACAAAACTCAGGAAGTCACTAAAGATTCGAACATAGTGGTCTATGATTCTTTTTTTTTTTTTTTTTTTTTTTTAAAGGTAATCTATTTTATACACTTTCAAGAAAAAATTCATCGTTTTTGTGAATATCTTGTAAAAATAATATATTTTAGTGTAAGGAATCCTTTTGTATAATGGAAAAACAAAAACTATTTATATTTTTCTTTTTTTTATATAATAGGCTTGGTGAGTTAGAAAATAATAGTTTTATTCATAATTAACTTATACAACATTTTATTTATATAAGTAGTATTAAAAAACAACAATGAAGTTTCATTTGTAAATTTATTTGATTTTCCGTTATTGATAATGCTACACATTTAGGGCGTGTTCGGCACATAACTTTAGGGAGTTAAAACTTTTAGTTTTTAATAAAAACCTTACAAAAAAAGTTATTCCGACAACAAGAACTTTTAGTTTTTGGGTTAAACAATAAATTCAAAATCTAAAAGCTATTTCAACTAATTGACTTAAATACCATATAAACAAATTAATCATATCCATAGGTAATTATCTATATGATCAAATATACATATATTTTAACAATTATAATGTTTTTTTTTTAAAACAAAACATATATTATACACTTAAATATAAATATGGTTTAATAGTTTTTTTTGAACCGCCAAATTAACCTATACTCCTAAAACCACATATGTCTCTTAATAGACTAGAACTTATGACCTCTCATTTGAGAGTGTCACTCCTTACTGCTAGATCATTTGTTTGAATCAACCATATTAATAGATTTTATAATTTATTAATCTTTATCTAACAAAATAATATATATTTATTATATGACTTTATAAATTAAAATTAATACCATAAAATAATATTGTTTCTTTTAGAGCACCAAAACACTTATATATATAAAAAAATGTTCACTTGGGTTCTTACACAATTGAAAAATCCTATTATTTACTTTATTTCTAAAAAATTCATTATTTACTAATATACAAAAAAAAAAAAGGTTTTACCAATTCAAAAACTTAATAGGTTCACTTAACATTAAAATTTAGATGATTTTTACTTTTGATAATTATTGTTTAGGAAATAATTTATCATTATTATATTCCAATTTTAGTTTATATTCGTATAACATATCATTTTATATAAGTTTATATATTTTAAAAACTTTCAGCTATTCGTATCGAATATTTTTATACAAATAAAAGTTTCAACTTCCAATTTCTAACTATCAGATTCAACCTATTTTGACCAAACACGTCCCTTGTCTTTTTAGGTAAGTTTTAAATATTTGATTATTAGTAACAGAAGTATACTAGACAAGTTCAAAGAGTATTTTTGTTTTTCTAATTAAACTTATAAAGGCAATATATATTTATAAAAGTACCTGTAATTACATGACTTTGAACTAATAATATATAAGGTTCTAAATAACGTAAGGTGTGAGTTGACAACAATATCAAACCTCAAGTTTTTTTGAGTCGTGGCAAGCCAAATCGTTTGTAAAGCGTGACTTAAAGCAGTAATTTTGTAAATAATTAATATATATATATATATATATATATATATATATATATATATGTGTGTGTGTGTGTGTGTGTGTGTGTGTGTGAGAGAGAGAGAGAGAGAGAGAGACTTAAGGCGACATTTTGACAAAATTTAACGACAAATACAAGCCTTGAAGCCATGACAGAACCATGTGGAGTTTTTTTAGAACATTAATAACACAAATGTATATATTTTGTACAAATTATACATAATAGAGATATATTTTCAGTTCATTTTTTATTAGGAAACATAATTTTTAAAAATCATAAATTTAAAATTGATATTATAAACAAAAAATCAAATAAAATCCCAAATTACCAAACATAAACATAGGGCTTCGTTATAATTAAACTTGTTTAATTATAAACAAATAATAAATATACTACCTTTTGAAATAGTTTAACTACCAGACTAAACCTAATTTGATAAATATTAATCTTAAATCTTAATTTCAATTAAAAGCTGATAAATGATTATTATATTAATTTTGAATTCTGACGGAAGAGTATCTTAAATCTTAATTTCCAGTGAAGCTCGGTACTGAAAGGGAGGATAGGGAATCTCTCGGCAGAAGAACCGGTGGTTGCGGTGGTGGTGGTAGTTGGTAGTGGAGTATACAACACATCAGTGTTTTTCACTGAACTCGAATTCTACAAAACATCAATGCTCAGCTTCAACTGATGATTTCTCTCATGGCGACGCACCTGCACCTCCCCCACTCTCACTTCTTCCTCCCTTCTTACAAACTCTTCTTAACCGCCGCTCCAAAACCTCGCCTTTGTCAATTCGGCGTCCGTCACCGCCGCTGCCTCCTCGTCACAGATTGTGCTTCGTCACCAAATGAAACAAGGTTTTGCAATTTGTTGCTTCATTTTCGATTGCATGTGCCTCTGTATGCGTTTGTTCGTGTTGATTGCTTACTAATTCGAGTTCGTTAAACGGATTTTGTGCTTTAGAGTTGCCAGAAGGAAACCGCCGAGGACCAATGCAGATCTCTGCAACGATTTACGGGAATTTATGTCCGATGCTGGGCTTCCTGATGGACATGTTCCATCTTTGAAGGAGCTTTCGCACCATGGCAGGTTTAGTTTCTGTAGCATTATATATCTCTTCTTCATTTCCAATTCCCTGTTTTGCACTTGAATACATGTCTGCTGATATGAATCCCTTACTTATCATGGAAAATGTTCCTGATACTAGAAATTGCTTGCAGTAATTTACAATTAAATGGCATTTGACATGAATAATTTGCAATTAGATGGCATTTGAGTCACTTCTGATCTTAGTAATCATGGAGATTCAATGGAAGTTTATCATATTGGCTTAAGAAATCTGTATATCATTTGATTTCAGTTCTATCCACACACTGTACAAAAGCATACTTTATATCAGCAAGGAAATTATATGCTTTATGGAAATGGCTTTTACTTGTAGAGAATTTTTCTGAATTATTCTTTTGTTCTTACATTACTATATAGGCAAGACCTTGCTAACCTTGTGAGAAGAAGAGGATATAAACTTATTAAAGAGCTTCTTGCAGCCTCACAAGAGGTCAAAGTCAATGCTTCTAATGTAGATGAGAGCTTGACTGATAATCAGGAACATACCAATACTGAAGAAGAAGAATCAACAGGTGTTTTTTTTTTTATCACTTTTTACAGCATGGAATTAAGTTAAACTCAAAACCCTTCTGATTAAATCGTTTGTATTAAAAAGATTTAGATGAGAATGGAACAAAATTGGCTGAAGCTGTGTTGTTGTCGAATGAAGAGACTTCCACTAAATCATCATTACAGGAAAAGGTGATAAAATTTATTCAGAGTGGAGAACTTGAAACATTTGAAGGCAAGTCATGTTAATATGTAGATATATAATATATTTTATCCTTTGATTCATTAATTATGTTGAAAATATTTATCTCCCTTGCATTAAATTCAGCTTTTGGTGCTTCTTAATGTTCAGATTCTGCCAATTTAGCAAACGGGAGTGTTTTGTCATCCCAGCTTGTACATTCAACATCTCAGTTGAGGTTTCCATTGTCATTTTTATTTTTTATTCTTTTGTGGGGTCCATAATCCATTTCAGCTGAGTAATTCGTATTCTTTGTAGAAATATTTCTTCCAATGATCAACTACAAAGTGCTGAGGATGTTGAGGTTATTTCATTATCTGATTTCAGATTTTCATATACGATTCTACTTACCTCTTTCTCTCTCTAAAATCTAAATCATGTTATCTTGTGTTTATGTAAGACAGATGAGAACAAAGGAGGATGAAGCTGAAATCAATCGCATCAAAGTCATACTGGTATTATATAATTATATAATTATATAATTATATTCATGTTCAATAATCTTGTTATTGTTTTTGATGTGGTTAGCATCACAAGGAGTTGGAGTTATCTCAGTTGAAGGAACAGATTGAGAAGAACAAGGTGAATATATGATTTTATATGTAATGTATGCTCTCATTAACATTGAAATATTTCAGAATGAATCATTATAAGGAAGATTTAAAAAAAATTTAGTAACAATTGGACATTGGTTGCTACTCAGGAAGCGTTGTGTGAATTACAAGCTAAAGCTGAAACAGAGATAAATAAAGCACAGAAGCTTGTGTTGGATAAAGATGCAGAGCTACTTGCAGCTGAAGAAAGCCTTTCTGGATTAAAACAGGTAACTCCTTATTTACTAAATTACTAGTAAAAATGCCAGATATCATAGGGATACATAGAAGCTTTTTGGTCTTTATTTACTGTTTATGCCATATTATGTTAACAAACATGGAATTAGGAAAATGCAGGTGGGTGGCCTATAGTCTATACTCCCCCAACAAATTTTACTGTTCAAAAG